GGTTTTTGAGGTGGTTCGGACATGAAAAGAGAAGGGGAGCAAAAAGAGTGATTTTCAAGAGTGTATAAAGTCTGTAGGGGAAAGGAAAGGGGGGGTGGGGGTCGGGCCTAGAAAAGGTTGGAGGGGGGGGGTTTAAAGGAGGTTTTGTGTGCGGGGGGCTTGGACTTCCAGCGGGCTTTCTTTGGAGGGGTGTTTTTTAGGGGGTGAATGGAGACAAAGGGTTTTTTAAATCCCTTAAACTGCTGTGGAGTGTGAGAAAAGTAACATTTATAAAGGGGGTTCGGGGAAAACCGACGGCCGGGACTTGAGCCCTTGGAGATGGGAATTTACATTTGCCTGCACTTAAAGGGAGGGTGAAAATTTTTGCTTTTAAAAAAACTTTTATTTTGCATTTTAAAAAAACTGTATTTGAAAAGCCCCTTTTTCGGCAAGACATGAGGGAGTAAATGAGGGTGAAATTTTTTCTTTTTCGGGAAAACCCTGCCTTGGGGGGGAATGGGCCCAAAGTTGAAAAAAAAAAATAAAAAAAAAAATTATATTTTTATAATACATGGACCCCCGCATAACGTTTACCCCGAATGCGCCAATTATGTAAGTGTATTTATGTAAGTCGTTTGTACGTGAATTTTTGGGGGGTCTAAAAAGGATTTAATCTCCCTTCAAAAATTTCCCTTAGGGGGAAAAAATTGGGCCGGGTACTGGCCCCTGAAATACTACTGGAATGAAAAAATTTCGTTAACCGGGGGTCCACTGTAATATTATATATATATTATATATAAAATTTTTTATATTTTTTATATATTTTAAATAATATTTTTATATATATTTTTATATATTTTAAAATATATATATCCCCCCAAACATACATACATACAGTGGCCCCTCAATAATCTTTCCGAAACCCCTTTCCCTGGAAGGGGGGACTATTATTAAAAATGGACAATTTACGAATAAATTTTTCCCCATAAAAAATAATGTAAATTAAAATTAATCCGTTCCGGGACACCCAGAAGATTAAAACAAAAAATTTTTTTACTTTGAAATATAGATTTAATACATAAAAAATTACGGGGGCCACAGTAAAATTAAACTTTAAAAAGGGAATAACACTTACCTTTTTTGGCGATTCTTTTTTGTGTAGAAGACTGGAGAAGGAGACTAAATTGGGGATAATTACTTTTTGGGGAAGGGGAATCCCTTTCCAAATCAACCCCTTTGGGGGTTACCAAATTTGTTTTTTCGGGGGTTTACTTCTCTAACTGTTTCAAATTTGCCCTGGGGACCCCCTTTAAGTCATTTGGATTTCCTGTCCCCAAAAAAAAACGGCCCGGGAAAGCTCTGTTTCTGGCGTCTAAAACTTCCCTAAAAGGGGCCAAGCTCTGTCACTGTACAAGTTCCCGATATGGTTTGCAACACCCTTTCCCTCTGGGTGATGTTTTCCCATAAATCTTTCCTTTCCACCCCACATTTCAAAAATCTCCTTAATTTCTGAAGGGGGGCACCTTCCCCATCTCTTTTCCCTCCTCCTCGGCAGAAAGTTTCAGAGCTCCCTTTCTGTTGCTTTTCCCTGCTGAAGCTCTTGCATTCCCCTTCAGGGGTTACTTTTGTTGGGGGTCCTCCCCCCAACTTTTTCCAATCCCCCAAAAACTCACATTCAACCCCAAGGAACCCCCCAAGTGCCACAAGGGAAATTTAACAACTGAAAAGGCTCTTTCAGGGTCACCCCCCAAACCCTTAAAAATCCCTCTTGTGGCACAACGGGCCAAAATTTCCTCCAGGCAGATTTCCCAAAGCCCTGGTAGTCACTCCCCCCCCAAGCCTTACCTATAAGGTTTACCCCAATGGAAAAATATAAAATTTTCCCTTTCCCAAAAATCTCGTAGGGTCAAGTGAGGTCTGGGTCACTTTCAAGCACCTTTCAAACATTGTTTTGGGTAGAGTTTTCAAAAAGTTTGCAATGCCCTCGGGTTTCCGGGGTTGGGAAAGGGGGGAAAAGTGGTTTTTCGGGGGCAAGAACTTTTACTGTGTTGAACCCAAACCCTTTCAGAATTGGGTCAAAAAATTTTGGGAGGATGAGCGGGTGCATTGTCCATTACAGGATTTACTTGAGACCCCAATTTCTTTTCCAGGGGGTTTAATTTTTAAACATTTGGGGCCAAACACTTCGTTGAACCACTCTACAAAAAAATTTCCCTTTGTGACCCTTTCCTTACTAATTTGATTTTCCCAAAAAACACACAATTTAATCTTCATTTAAATTGTTTTTCCTGAACACTCTATTTTCAGAATGGTACCCCTAGGAACCGGGTTCAAATTTTTAAATTCCCCCCTGCT